TACCCACTTTGCAGCGCGTACCCACTTTGCAACGCGTACCCACTTTGCAGCGCGCACGCACTTTGCAGTTATCGTATGTAATGTCTTTTTATCACTTCTGGCGTCTCCGACGTCCGTTGCCTCCGAGCCGCGTCTTGGTCACCTGGCGCCTCCACTTGCCACGCGCGCCCACGTGTCAGCGGCGCTCGCCACTCTCTCCCTCTCTCTCTCCTCGGGCGGACTCTGTTGCAGTGACAGGTGGGCGGATGCCGACGCCGGATTTATGTCCCTCGCCGCTGCAGCGACGCGCTCGCGGTGTGAAACACGTATCTCAGCAGCTGTCAAATTCTTTTTTGTTGCCCGCGATTCACTCGTTGGCAGATGGCCGTTGTATTTTGGGTAGGTCGTTTTGAGGGACACCTACTCTTCCGATGATGCAACGTTGCAAAAATACTGCTTATTGCTTTCAATTCGTACTCAGCGATGAATAACGATTGCTGTGTTCGTGTTTTCTGCTTTACCTTCAGACTCTTTGAGTTAACGTATACGAATAGCTCGGTGAATGATTTGATCCTGCCATTCAAATGTAGAATTTGAATTGAATTCTAGCTCTTTGAATCACTACGCTTACGATGCGAGATTGTATTACAAAAGACGAAAATTTACAGAATCATAAATGACTAAAATTAATTATGAGTCTGTGAGACGGGAGATATTTATAGCCAGTCCCTTTTAGAAGGTTCAGCGTATCTTTTAAAGGTTACGTGACGCAAGGAACGTTCAGTATTACAAGACCCAGTTTCCTCGATTCAAAATTACAAATGAAGGTGCGTTCAAACAACTGCGAGAAAATGTTTTTATTGATGCTGTTATAAGCTTGTTATTTCCATTAGTTCAAGAAGAGAATTTATCAGACTCTCTTTTTAGAGTTTTGATATCTCACAAGAGAGTATTGGAGATAGTCTTTCGAATGCTATTTACTCATGCGTTTCTTCATACACTAAATTAATAAATTTTCTTGATTGTGATTCACACTATGAAAGGTGCCATTGACAAAAAATCTTGGGTGTTCCTGAACATGAATACGTGCTCATTTCTCTGAATGACACTTCCACAATTTATCCACATTCCTATCTCGAGTCAAATGTTTCGAAACAGAGATCAGTTCTGTAATAAGTAATAATTATTACAACACAATGTCAACTAATAATACATGACTTACTATTATTAACAACTATCAACATCGGTCTTAACGTTTTATAGGATTAACTGTCAAATTTTAACAGAAATTCTAATCCATTACAATTTGTGCAAAGTGGATAAAACGTCGTACGATAATTGCATCGTAACGTTTTATTACAATACTCGATCGGTTATCAAACCCGGCCTGACGGGGTTGTTTGATAATTGTCGAATGTCGCATTATAAAAAGATGACTTGCTTTGTGAATAAACATTCCCTGAACCCAGAATAGTGCCATCGCCGTGGGTGACAACACTGACCTTTGAGCGCGGGGCAGATGCGTCGCCAGATGGTGAGGCAGCCGCAGCGGTGGAACTGCCCCAGCGCCAGCTCCATGTAGAACAACGGCAGACCCCCGAAGATGAGCATCACGCAGTACGGGATGAGGAAGGCGCCTGCAACAACAATAATAATGATAATAATAATAAAGTTTTTATTTGTGGTGAGGAATAGAGCAATTCCAGACATCGTGATATCTTATAAACATTCAAAGTCAATTGTGAGACGGACTCCAATGAATGGTGATGATTAGGATCAATGGATTGAATTTTCTGAAGTGTACTGATGGCATCCTTAGTAATCGAGTGACCCTCATCCTACCTGTCAATCACGGTTACACTACTTGTGATTCACCAGCTGAAACAAATAAGATATCATTCAACGTGTGTTTGTCTGTATGTGAGAATCTGATCTTTTGCCTACCCAGACACAAGATTCTAAAACAATTCTCGTATAACGTGTTTGTTTTTTTAGCAACTGTAAAAGCATTTAAGTGTGTCACGGCACATACAAAGTGACGAATAGCTCATTGGACTCCTCCCGATAAAACTAATCAATTGGCACTCAAGAAGCGTATTTTTTTATTTAATAAAGAAATATGGTTACGAAATAGGAGATATAAGTAGTTCGCAAATCAACCAGTAGATACAGCAAAACATTTTGATTGAGACCGTGAAAGAGACGGCTCAGCCCTCGATAAAACATTTTTGTAAATTCACAATAAAATGTGATAATTTTGTTGCGCACCTACAATATGACGATCCCTGTACAGATTACGTATTCTTAAAGTCGATCACAAGACTCCCTGGAGCCGCGCAAACCGCAAGGCAGGCCATGGGGCCGCAGTTCTCCTGCACCTCGAGTCGGAGAGCACCGGATTTCGGGTCTCGCTCGAACCCAGCCCCTTATCCTGACCCTCAACACCCAGCCCTGCCTCACTTCTGCCTCGCGCAACCCCGCCCTTTCTCGCCCTCACCTCTCCACCCTCACCTCCCTCCTGCCCTACTCCCGATCCCCACTTGACCCAGCCTATCCTCTCCCGTCTCCGTCATACCCCACTGCTTTGCCCTCTGCTCCCGTGCCCC